CTCTCTCTCTCTCTCTCTCTCTCTCTCTCTCTCTCTCTCTCTCTCTCTCTCTCTCTCTCTCTCTCTCTCTCTCTCTCTCTCTCTCTCATGCGTGCGCGCTCGCTGTGCTGTGTGTCTGATGCGGGCAAAGATGTTGACAAGTGGCGTGAAACAAATGTGCACCTTGCAGCACATTTGGCACTGGATGGCTAACTGTGGGTCCACGTTGCTGGGCCTGTGATTTCCCCTGGGATGCCTGGCAGGGAACACAGGGTCCCGGGCCAGATTGCACAAATTCAGCAAGGGGGGAAGGTTCAGGCCCAGGTTTGGCCCAGGCACCCATAGCCCTTCTTCAGCAACCCCTTGGGCCCAAAAAAAAGAAATTCGGCCCCCCATTTTTTTTTTTTCCAAGTTTTGATCAATCTGGGCCATCGATCTTGAAGATCAATGACTGAGATCAAGGGTGTGTGTGTGTGTGTGTGTGTGTGTGTGTGTGTGCAGTGTGTTTGGGTGTAACAAATCCTCTGCCCTAACACTGCAGAATGTTGTGTTGGATGGTGTGCGCTTTTTCGAAACCCGAAAAAAAGCCTCTTCTCCTAGCAGAGAACAAACCAAGAAGAGGAAGTGTGCCAGGCATTCTAGTGCATTCTAGTGCATTGAGGGCCGTCGGCTTTGGAAAAGGGGAAGGGACGCGGGAAAGAGAGTAGAACGACCAAGCAAGCAGCATAGCAAGGAAAAGGAGAAAGGTAACAAGACCAAGCACAGAGCATGGAAAGACAAAGTAGCGAGGCAAAATGTATCAAGGCCGCAAGGCACAGGTCGACAAAGAGGGGCAGTGAGACGGGAAAAAAAAGAAGGTCAAATAGATGGCACTCAGAAATAGGGGTTGCAGCCAGACGTACCCAAAGGACAAACGCAGACATGCAAACCCCACACAAGCAAATACAAGTACCAAAGAAAACAACAACGAGTGAAAAAAAATAAAAAATACAACTGATGATGACAGAGTGCTTCATCGAGGACTTGCACCAACTCATCTGGAGGTTGTAACCCTCGACAATCTGCAAAATCCCCGTATTGATGGTCTTGCAATGAGACCGCCATGCATGGCACACTCAGACACGAGTTCCGCATCACATACCGCACTCGCATGGGACACATGACGTCCAATAGACGCTCTGAAATCAACCCCAAATTTGACAGCTTCTTCATCACCAGTGGCTATGGCCGCTCAACTCAGCATGCAGGTAAGTCTCTCTGTCTTCTCTCTCTTTGCTCTTGCTCTCACCTCACAGTCCTTGTTCGTCTTTCAGAATGTCTTCCTCTCTCTCACACCTTAAGTATGGCTATGGCGCCCAGCGCCGTTCACTACACTGCACTAACACGCTCTCACTGACTTGGTCGCCTCTCCAGTGGGGAAGACCGCAGCAGCACTTCCGCATCGAGTGCCCAACACACTGGGTTGATGTCTCGGTGCTGCTGAATTTTTATACTTGCTGGTTCGCCTTCCAGGCAGTTGTTGCTGGTTATGGGTTGGCTCCCCCTTTCCGTTTTTGCTGCTTCTGGAAGCTCATGGATTCTCCTTGGACCTGGCTGCTTGGTCGGACTGACTGACACCTGGCCTAAACTTTTGTGATCTTGGCCGAGGCTCGTGGTACCTTCTAAAAAGAGAGTCTTTAACCCACAACTTTATCTACCAGGGACTTCCCACCTTGATCTACTTAACTAACCTGCTTCGGTATCAACAATCATGGTACAAATGAAAACTACTCTTCTGGAGTGTCCGTGACTGGCTTGAACCACTAATGGACTCCTGACTGGGACCTGGGACTTGGAACGGGACAGAATGGAACCTGGGACTTGGAACGGGACAGAATGGGACCTGGGACTTGGAACGGGACAGAATGGGACCTGGGACTTGGAA